TAAACTAACAAAAATTTTTCGATGACGGAGCCTTTTCAAGATATCAAATGGGATTCTTGAATACTATTGAGGTGATGAAGTATTTTTTTTAAGAGTTATACCTAAATGATGGAGAATCTTAAAAATTATTTTCAATATTTAACATAAATTTGAAACCATTAGACTCAAGATCCTAGGATAAATTTAAAATAAAATGGTACCATCCTTTGGATGGGTATGTAGGGGTGCTATAACCTTCCTCACATGCAACCGACTCTCGAACCCTATTCTGATTAGTAAACCCGAACATGTTCTTTTAGGGACCTTTAGTCAAGCTTAGGAGTTCCTTAAAAGGATAGATTCCTCAAGTGGCCAATTACACCTAGTAAAAAAGATTGGTGGCAACTTCATTCGTTGGTTAAGTCCAGTTATAGATTTTCAGATCTATATGTTATGACACCAGATTCGCAAAGGTTTCAAGTTTCGCAGAGGTTCTAGATTTGCAAGAATTTTAGTTTTTAGAGGTTCTAAATTCGCAAAGGTACCAAGTTTCACAAAGGTTCTAGATTAGCAAGACTTTTAGATTCACAAGGAACTAAGTTTTGCAAGAACTTCAAGTTCGTAAAGGCTTCAGGTTCACAAGAGTTTCAGGTTCTCAAGAATTTCAGGTTAGCAAGAACTTCAGGTTCGTAAGAATTTAATATTCGCAAGAATCTAAGGTTTGCAAGAATTTTCAAATTCATAAAAAATTCAACTTCATCATTGTAAAGATTAGCAAACTTAATGAATATTTAAATATTCACATTCAAAGGATTTTTGTTAGTGAGTCACATCCAAAATTCAAATTTTCATATTTGAAAAATTTACGGATTCACATTAAAGGTTTTAAGGCTCACCTCCAGAATTCAAAAATTTTCATTTGAAAATTTTCAGGATTTTACATCCAATTTTTCAAAGATTCATTCAAAAAATTTTAGAGATTCACATCCAAGGTTTCAAAGGTTCTTTTTCAAAAACTTTATGGCTTTATATTCAAGGATTCTTATTCGAAAAAATTTTAGGATTTCACATCCAAAATTTCAAAGACTCACATTCAAAAAGCTCCTTTCAACAAAGGCTTTATAACTTTAAAAGTTTGGAAAGTTTTCCTTATCCAAAAATCTCAACATGAAAGATCTTCCTAATTCGAGGAATCAAAAGTCAAATATTTTCTCCCAACAATGACAAATGTCATGCAAATGCAACAACCCCTATTCTCACTGAATGATGCAAATACAAATATCATACAATAATTCAAATGTTCCTTACATGATGCCAATGCATGCCCCAACCATGATGGAAATACAATTATCAAGGATTTAAATACAATGTAAACACAATGTATGTAATGCAGATGTTAATACATGAATGCCATGAAATTCCAATTGTAGTAACAAGGTTCTCAAAACTCCACCATTCCTTTTTAGCTTATCAATACTAACCATTTCAAAAAAAATTTTGTCACCTGATCCATTTTTTTTTTCATCTAGTCTCAACTCATAAGTTTTATTAACCAATCCATTGTTGTGCTCATCAGTAGGCTACCTCATTTGTCCTTTTCAAATCATTTTTTCAAGCTTCTTTTATCTTGGATTTTTTTCAAAAAATTAGAAAAATCTTTTACCAACATTGTCATTCATTTATTTATCATTATTCTAATACATGACAAATATAATACATTTTCTCAATTCATCTAGGGGATGCAAACTTCGTAAAGAATAAGAAAAATGAGTATTCATTAAAGAAAATTTAGTCAAAAACAAATCAAGGATGAATAAAAGTAAAATATTACGAAAATAGAGTATTAACATCTAGAATAATGATTATTCATATAATTCTAAACTCTAATTCAAAATTCTTTCTCAAAAACACATTCCATCGATATTCTCAATCTTTAAGCCAATCATCATCCATATTCCTAGGATCCTCAAATGAAATTGTTTTCTCGAATCTCTATTTTTACTTAACTCACCCTTTCGAGTTTTCAATTTAAGTTTTCCTTTTACCTCATTTTTTTATTTTATTTTTGCACATATTTTTCTCATCTTTTTTTATTTCTTTTTTCCCTTTATCCATTAGTGACACTTTGATCAAAATCCCAAACAATCTAATGGTAAACCTACCTTGGTTCAAATTATGATTCTCTAATTCGAGTATTCATATTTGATCAAAATGAATTTTTACAGGACGTAATGTAGGTTAGGGTGAGGGGTTATGAAAGAAATGGATAAAATAAGCTGACAATATATTTGAAGGATAATCAAACCAAGGATCATTTTTTTTTTCATGTAAAGCAACTTGATATTTTGCCCCATCAATTTCTTATTCTTTTTTTTTTTTCACTTTTCATCTTTTTTCAAGAAAGATTTAAGCACAAAAAGGGTTTGCCCCTAAAATCACTAAGGATACCAACTTTTCAAGCTTATCAAACTGTGCCCTAGTGTAGGGTGATCCTTGTATAAGGTTTCTTGAAAGAAAATTTTAACAAAACTCAAATAGGGTAGCAAAGGATAATTTTACTCTTTTTGTGAAGGATAGAAGAAATATGGCTATTTCTCATCTTAAATATGAATACTCACAATGAAAAACATTCATTGGCCAAAAACAAAGATTGCATTTTGCATCAACTTCATCTTTTAATGAGCAAAATTCTTTGCTAATTTATCTTATTTTATTTAGCAATCTCAATGGATCAACAATCTTAATTCATCAATCATATCATCATGAATGAAGTTTTCAAAATCAAATCTTGAATTATTATCATGACTGTCTAAACATTCATTATTTGAAATCAAAAAATGGATATGGAAAAAAGAAATGAGAAGGTAAAAGTATATAACAGTAATTTATATGAAATAAAAAATATCATGAAAATGCACCATATCTGTCATTTTTATTAAAATGATGAAAGAAAAGATAGAATTCAAATACATAAAAACAAATCATCATTCTGAAGAAATCATGAGATAATATGCAATTTCAATCAACCTTCTCAAAATTATGCCTCTGGGTGATCAAGCAAAAGACCTTTGTGGACATTCAGCTCTCTTGATTCATTTAAGCTCACTAAGACTGCTCGAATCAAACTTTACACTTTATGCTTGAAAACATGGTAAGTTTTTATAAAGTGACCCATATTCCTATTATCGTAATCATATATGGCATTAACATTATACCATATGGGATAGGGTGGCCTCAATGGTTCTAAAAAAATTAGAGATACTAAGTCATTCTTAACCAATTCTAAAAATAGCTTAGTACAAGTTATAGGGATAAGATCAATGTGAGCTCTCTCTTGGTTGCCCCTAGATCTTCCTGAACCACTCACTTAATTGTTAGGCCTTGAAACTGGTGTATTAACAAAACTAGGCCTATATACTGGTGCTTGAAAAATTGGTTGATAAGGACTTGGGAAGATGTTATTCATGGTTGAGTAATGAGGCTAGTAAGAGACTTGTAAAATATTATTGATTGCCGAGTAGTAAACAGAATGAACATATGGTGGATATAAAGCATAACCTCTAAATTGTTGCCCTTCAAAACTCATAACTTGGGTTTCAATTTCTTTTTTTTTTTTTTTTGGGCATCCCCTATTTTTTGGTACTATTGGCTTCTTTTTCTTCAAGTTTGCTACTCTTGACAATATTTTCAATAATCTCCCCTAAGATTACCATGTTAGTAAATTTTTAGTTGTGTTCCCTATCACATTTTCATAATAGAGCGAATTCAAAGTACTCACAAATAAAACTATTGTCTCTTTTTCAATCAATGGTGGCTAGACCTAAGCAATTAATCCTTCCACAATTGGGCATATTCTTTGAAAGACCTTGTTACTGTCTTCTTCATGCTTTGTAAAAGAAAGGTTGATTAGGGGGGCTAAGTCAATAATGTGGTGACATTGGTTAACAAATAGCCGAGCAAGCTCATAACCAAAAGCGAATGTGAGTTTGATCTAGCTAAACCATATCACCTTACAACTAAGCCAATAAAGCTATCTTGGAATACATGCATCAATTAGCTTTTCATCACTGTTGTAGCATCTATTTTTCAACAGTACATGGTGACATGAGTTGTCAGACACTTACTACTATTATACTTCTTAAACTTTGAAACTTTAAACTTTGAAAGAATCACAACATCTAAGACCAAACAAAGGTCAACAGCATCTATAGAGCTATAAAAATCTGTCACTTCAAAAACTAGCAACCTCTCCTCGAACATGTTCATCTTGTAATCACCTTTTAAATCTACCAAAGCCTCAACCATTTTCAATTTTTCTTTTGGGACATCTAAATTAGGAACTTAGATCGGTGCGACTGACTTTCAACAAGGGCAAGGTTGTTGTAGCTTTAAACATTCTCTTTGCTAGGTGCAGGCAACATTTCTGAGCAAATATAGCCTATCGAAAATACAAATTGTTGTGATAGAAAGCTTGGAGTGAATTGGGCCTAATATGGGCCATAACCTGGAGGATATAGAGGATCAACAATGTTATATGAAATATCATCTCCTATCACCTTTCCTTTATTCAACTTGCCTAATACCTTAGGGATTTTGTTCAGCCCTCCCTTAATCCCTAATGCAAGACATCAATTTCTCACAATTACAAATGTTCGAAGTAAAACTTTCACTTATATAAAAGTTAATTTTTACACGATTAAAGAGAATTAAAAAAAATTGCAATAATAATTTGAAATAAAAGTTTATGTAATTATAAATCAATATATAAACATTTATTTAAGTACAATAAAAATTATAAGAGTCTTTTAAATAAAATAATAATATTTTAATATTTTAACCTTTAGACATCTACAAGGAAAAAGAAAGGTTGGATCAACAAATAATTACATTTGACGATGTGGCCTTTAGTCATCAAAACAGACTGCAAAATTTCAATATATAATAAGATGAAGGCACATGTGCATTCCACATTGTATGATCATTGAAGTGGATGCTTTCTCAAATCCTTAATATTAGGATTTTTAGTAGGCATCAGGATTTGCCAAGAGGTAGGCTTCAATGGCTTTAAACATTCCCGAGGTCTTTTCTTTGCCTGCCTTGATTCCCTTTTCCTTGAGCTCAAAGTCTCCAATGGTGTAATACTTACTAGTAGTCTTACATATGGATCCCCCAGTTGCAGAGGGTTCTAATTTGGTCTCATAAGTTATTTTCTCAAGAGTGTTCAACAAAGCATCGCCTTCAATTATACTGTAACTATATACAAAATTTTCTTTGTCTAGTGATTCTATCTTCTGCTTTGCATACTTAAATTGGCTTCTTGCAAGAGGAAAGAAAAATATTAAGCTTTTGCTTCACAAATAAAAAAAGAACTTTACTTGTAAGTTCTAATTCAATATATTATTCAAAGTATTTAGTTGCATGTATAAATTAACTAACCTTCTCCAAAAGTAACTTTCTTGATGCTCTCAGGCTCACCATTGCCTTCAATATACTCAACACTCTTAAAAGCCTGAGGAACAACCTTGGGAATGAGCTTGTCACCATCAAGCACACAAGCCTTAAACATCTTGGCTAGTGGGATTGAAGTAACAACCTCATATTCATAAGTGAAAACACCCATGATTTTGTAATTTGGAAATGGTCACAAGATGAGTGAAAATGGAATTGATTGATATTTTGCAAAGAGATTTTTAAGGTGTGGAGATGTGAACCTGAAGCTGTAGTATTTATAGTGAAAGAATGAATATTAATCCAGAAATTAAACACCTAAAAAAACTTAAAATTGATTCTGGTTTGTGTACTGATCTTACATATTCTTCAATTTGCAACAGCCAAGCTTAACATAAAGAAAAAATTTATGGATCTTGAAAGTAGTCAACATTAGAAAAGGATTAAAAGGAAAGAACTCTAATATTTTAAGCACAGAAGACCTTGGATTCAAATGCTTGGCCTATTAGGAACTCATAGGTATATGGTAAATTGTAATTATAATGATTAATAACAGATTTTTAAAGTTACATTCATTTGCAGCTTTAACCCATTAGGTATTCATTTAGTTCAATTGGTTAATTTTGAATCGAATTATCTAAAATCGAATTAACCAAATTATATTATTTTATTTTTATTAATCGAAATTGAATTTTTTTTATTTCAAAAATTAATCGACTCAAATTAATTCAGTCAGTTAAGTTAATTTTTTAGTTAACTGAATAATAAAATATATTAAGTTAAATTATATTGAAATTTAAACTAGGAATTTGAAAATGTTCAAAATTAAACAATACAAAAGAGAGAAAAGAGGATGATGAACTTATTGTTTGAGGTGTGGGGAAGAAACAGAGAACTAAATGGTATTTACAGACTGCATTTGAGGCTGAAAATTTTCATTTCTTCATTTTTTTGTTGGATATATCCAACTAGTCACTACTTTTCAAAGAATTTGCAATAGTCAAAAGAAGCATCCTGCATTAGAACTTTTCATAGTAAATCTCCAATTGGTCATTTTTGTTCCAATTCCTTTGCTATGTATTTGCTTGATTTTTTTATTGAAACTTCTTACATATATACGTAGAAAGAAAAATATAGGGAATAATCAAATGTGCTGAGAAGGTACTTCAAATTTAACTAATTTACATGGATAATAATGTTTAATTAAGTACTTTTATTTTTTCCCTAAACAAATAATCAATCAAATTTCTAGCATTTATGATATTAATTGGTTTAGACATGGCTAAAATGATATAAAAATATATATATCTTGAATTTTATCATTCTATTTAAATAAGCTCCTATATTTTTATTATACTCAAATAAACTTTTAACTTTTAATTTGTATTCAAATAAACTCTTAATATTTAATTTATACTTAAATTAGTCGTTAACATAATACATAATAATACAAGTAAGACATTAGTTTCTCACTATCACAAATGCTTGAAATAAAACCTTTACTTATTTAAAGATTTAATTTTTACATGATTAAAGAGAACTAAAAAAAATTGCAATAGAAATTTGAAATAAAAATTTATTTAAAGATTTAATTTTTACATGATTAAAGAGAACTAAAAACAATTGCAATAGAAATTTGAAATAAAAGTTTATTTAGCTGTAAATCAAAATATAAAAGATTATTTAAGTAAAAGAAAAATTATAAGAGTCTATTTAAATAAAATAATAAAATTTACGAATTTTTTCAATATTTTAATCTTTAGACATCTATAAGAAAAAAAGTATTGGGAATAGTGATTCAAATCTCATAACAAATTTGTTTGAGATTGATTAAATATTGCCTAATGGATAAAAAACTTACAAAAGAAGAATTCTAAAAAAAAAAAGATCTTTGATAGGTAAATTAATATGCTTATAAATATATGAAATTTCTATAGGTGTTATAACGTATAGATTTGTAGACCTATAGTTAGACCTAATCTTAGGAGTCACCATTAATATTTTTTTTTAAGGTATGATTGGTCACCTAACTAAATTTGTCTTTTTTTAAGGAGAAATCTCAAACTTAATTTAGAAATATTTAAAAAGTAGATTTTTTGTCTACGAAACTAAGACTAAATCCGGGAGTACAGTTATGTGTGAGAAAGATTATAGCATTCTCACAACACCCATCAAATAATGTACTAGTTTGATTTCATATTATCCATGCCTTAAAATGTGTTTGTAATTTACTTAATAAATTTAATATTAAAAATTTTTCTTAAAATTACTATAATCATTTGGTAGCAATTTAAGATAATTTTCTTATATAAAGAGTATTCATTGAGAATCGTGTCTCACTCTGGAGAGGCTACATCATCGAATTTATTAACATATTTTCTAAGAAATCATTTTTTTGAAATCAATCAATAAAATATTTCAATTGTTTAGTAAGATTTATAACAATGCATATCCCACAATCGTTTGGTGAGATTTTTGTTGAAAATCTATTTATGAAATTTTTTTAAAAAAAAGTTATTAAATTCTCTAATAATTTGATAAAATTTAGCAGGAATTTGAATCCCTCAATTATTTGGTAAGATTATAAATAATTTTTTTCTTAAAATTCATCAAGAAATTCTCCAATCATTTAGTAGAATTCATAATTAAAAATTAAAATCCTCCAATCAATTGGTAGGATTAAAAAAAATTTTCTTTTTTTAAAATAAATAAATAAATAGAATTTACAAGTAAAATAAAAAATTCAATTATAAATTAAAAAAATAATTGAAATTTAAATAAATAACATAAGATAAAAATAAAAAATAAAATAATTACCAAAAAGGAAAGCTTGGATCAACTTAGCTCAAAGATGCAACCTAAGACATAGAGGATTGCTTGAGGGCCATGGCTCCAAGCTTGGCTTTACTCCACGTCACGACTCAACACCTGCAATTAGAACATATCGTACACTATGAGTTGGGTTGGCACACAAATCTTGAAGGATTTTAATTGATCCAAACGACATCATTTTCCTTCAATATAAAAGCCCAAATTTTTTTTCTCAGATTTCTTTCGTCCCTTCTCTCTCTTCCTTATCTTTTGTCTGTCTCTCTCTCTAAGAGGCTATTGAATACCAGCTAGAAACCCTAACAAAACCTAGACCAGGGCAATTATTTCTAGAAAATGATGACAGAAACTTCAAAGTTTGTTGAGAAATTGATCGAAAACTTCAACAACCCAAAAAACTTCCTAGATTTTTTTAGAAACCTAGATTTTCCCTAAATTTGCCAAAAACCCATAGACTAAATTGATTCCCGTTTTTTCTTGTTTTTCCTAAATCTAAACTCTCGTAAGTCTTTAGAATTCTTATTTGCCTACTGCTTGATTTTTCTTTATATCCCTCTCTTTTGAATCTGGGTTTGTATTTATAAAATTTCAAATTATAAGAACCTTAAACTAAAAAGAGTTTCAATTTTTTTTTAATTCAAACTTCAAACTTTAATTTAACCTAAACTTTATAATTTAAAGAAACAGTCCCAGACATATTCGACCACCCCCAAACTTTCTTAATTTTTCCTTTTTCATTTTTTTATAACATTTACTAAAAAGAAAACATATCAAATAGTTACAACTCCAGACAAATTATGATGTCTACAATAGAGTTAGGTATAAGAAAAATATGTAAGAGAATTGTAAAATTTTATAGGATAGAAACCCATAGGACTACTGGAGATTTATGTCTTATTGGTGTGTATATTTGAATATTTGTGAGTGGACTTACGAAAACTGAGAGAGTGCACATTAATATGATGCATTAGTGCAGTATGTATTTATTTATATTGACTCCATATAAGTAAAGGAAATTGAGAAGGTCTATGAGTATTAATAGTAAGTGAGAAAGATTTGATGTATATTTGTAATTCTTTATAACTATTAAATCTTTTCTCTCATCCATGAATGTAAGTTAGTTGGATCGAACCACGTTAAATTATTATTTCTTATATGGTTGCTTAATCGTTTGATTTTGCTTCCGCTGACTTAATTGGATTAGAACTTTTTGCCTAACATAAAGGAAAGTTGGATCAAGAAATAATTACATTTGACAGTGTGGCCTTTGATCATCAAAACGGACTGCAAATTTTCAATATAATAAGACAAAGGCAATTTTTTTCTTTAACAAAAGCAGTCGCAGTAAAAAGATAAGGAAAAATATACGAAATTTAAATTTTAAATTTATAGAATATTAAAAATAATTATATAAATTAAGTTAGTTAAACTCTGATTTTAACGAATGCAACTTTGATTTTCTAGTTTATTATCCTAAGTGAAAAGAAAAACTAAAAGAATATGTGTGTGTGTCTATATATATATATATATATATATATATGTATATATTCCTGCCATTCTAAATTATTTTAGTGTTATTAATTTTCATGGAATTAAGAAAAAAGTTTTGAATTAGTGTATTTAATATTAAAATTTAAATTTAAATTTAAATTTCATTCAAGTATCCTGAAAAGCAAAAGGGAAAAGGAAAACAAACGAAACATAAAGTCAAGATATGGCACAAGATTGGACGTCAATATTTATTGCCTTGTTCATACTACCTGGCATTCAAACAAAGAATTTTTATTAATCGATCTCGTAAAAGTTATCATGTAATTTTAATTTCAATTTAACTACAATCACGAATTTCTAACTTTTCCGACAAAATGTCCAAAAAGAACTAGTTTACGCGTCAGAATTAGTCTCACATTTCTTCTAAAACTTGACTTTGTTATGTTCAGGATATATAACTAGTAAATCTTGAAAGATGAAGATAATGCACTCATCATTTTCAATGGATAGCTTGATCGCAAAACAACTTTTAATTTAAAGCTAAACACATTCGACGCTCCTTTATTTATTACTGGCAGTTGACATTTTCAGTTCAAGCTTCCTGCTAGTCAGGACAAACTGTGAACTCTTATTAGCAATATGAAGGTCATATGGACCAACAACCGCTAAAACTAGAAACTAAAAAAAAAAGGTACATATGCATTCCACATTGTATGATCATTGAAGTGGATGCTATCTCAAATTCTCAATATTGGGATTTTTAGTAGGCTTCAGGATTTGCCAAGAGGTAGGCTTCAATAGCCTTGAACATTCCCGAGGCCTTTTCTTTGCCTGCCTTGATTTCCTCTTCCTTGAGCTGTAAGTCGCCAATGTTGTAATATTTACTAGTAGTCTTACATATGGATCCCCCAGCTGCAGAGGGTTCTAATTTGGTTTCGTAAGTTATTTTCTCAAGAGTGTTCATCAAAGCATCTCCTTCGATTATACTATAACTATACACAAAATTTTCTTTGTCTAGTGCTTCTATCTTCTGCTTCACGTAATTGAATTGGCTTCCTGCAAGAGGAAAGGAAAATATTAGGCTTTTGTTCCACAAATAAAAAAAAAAAGGAACTTTACTTGTAAGTTCTACTTCAATATATTATTCAAAGTATTTAGTTGCATGTAAAAATTAACAAACCTTCTCCAAAAGTAACTTTCTTGATGCTCCCAGGCTCACCATTGCCTTCAATATACTCAACACTCTTAAATGCCTGAGGAACAACCTTGGGAATGAGCTTGTCACCATCAAGGATACAAGCCTTAAACATCTTGGCTGGTGGGATTGAAGTAACAACCTCAGATTCATAACTGAAAACACCCATGATTACTTGTGATTTGAGAAATGATCAGAGGAGGGGTGAAAATAGAATTGATTGATATTTTGCAAGCAGATTTTTGAGGTGTGGAGATGCGAACCTGAAGCCATTGTATTTATAGAGTAAGAATGAAGATTAATCTAGAAATTAAGCACCTAATAAAACTTGCAATTGATTCTGGTTTTTGTACTGATCTTACATATTCTTCAATATGCAACAGACAAGCTTACTATAAGAACAAATTTATGGATCTTGAAAGCAGTCAAATCAGAAGACGATTAAAAGGAAAGAACTCTAATATTTTAAGCACAGAAGACCTTGGATTCAAGTGCTTGGTCTATTAGGGACTCGTAGGTATGTGGTAAATTGTAATTATAACGATTAAATAATCAGTTAATATTCTCTAAAAGGCAATAAAGATGTCTTTGTCAACTCAAAAGATTTATGAAAGAAAATATAATTTGCAAAACGTTGCAGGAAAACTGCAAAATGAATCCCAATATCAAGTACAACCTTGATTTCTAGTATATGTTTTTCCTTTCATATATATGAGATAATAAACTCAAACTTATCTTTTTATTACAGTGAAAACACAGATGATCATAGCCAGAGACCACCACTCTCACTACCCAAAGTGAAATGCCAAAATCACACCATTAAAACTTATCTGACATGAAGAACAGCAAGCAGGAGCTGATAGCAACCTAGTTGTAGAGATGAGGATTTGCCAAGAGGTAATCGTCATAATGTATAGATTTGTGGATCTATAGTTAGATATAGACTAAAGGAGTCATCACCAATCTTTTTTTTTAAGGTGTGATTGGTTACTAGACAGAATCTGTCACATTTAAAGAGGAATCTCAAGATTAACTTAGTTATTTTTAAATAGTAAATTCTAGTTCACGAAACTAAAATTTAGGTCCGAAAGTATGGTTATACATGAAGAAGGTTATAGCATACTCATAGCACCCATCCAAAAAATGGTACCAGTTTGATTTCAAGTTATCCAAATCTTAAAATATATTCAAAATTTATCAAATAATTTAATATTTAAAATTTTTCTTAAATTACTCCAATATGTTGGTAATAATTTAAAAATATTCCTTCATCTCAGGAGTATTTAAAAAGATTATTTGTTATACTTTGAAGAGGATCTGTGGTTAGATTCTTTTAATTTTACTCCTAGAAATAAATATCTATAAACCAAATTTATGACAAAAAATATCATCCAATCTATTAGTAAGATTTTTTCTTGAAAATTATCCTCCAATCTGATGACAGGATTTTTATGCAAAATAAAACAGGAAATCTTTTATTTTTTAAACTTGATTTTTTTGAAAATTATAAGACTCTCTAATATGTTGGTAAAATTTTATTTTGGAAAAATATTGGCCCTCCAATCTGTTGATAAAACTTTTTTTTTAAATAAAAAAAAGTTATAAGTTTTCTAATATGTTGGTAAAACTATATTTAAAAAAAAAAATTGATTCCCTTCCAATATGTTGATAAGGCTTTTATTTTAATATTTTTTAATAAAAATATATTTAAAAATAATAGATAATCAAATAAATAAATAAAATAGCTAAATAAAAAAAATTAAAGTAGTCTCAACTAAGTGGCTGGGCTGCACAGCTTACTAGAATAAATCCTCACAATTCTAGATTCTACAAAGAATTCCATAAAAAAACTTACTGCCAAAAAACATATCTTTTTTCTAAATGATGTTTCTTTCCCTTTTTTCTCAAGAGTTTTTGCATAATCATTTTCTCCATCCTTGTTCTTTGTCTACCTTAGAACAATTTACAAGGATTTTCTAGTCAAAAATTTTAGGGTTCCATTGATTGTCAAGGATTTTTAAAAAATTTTAAAATCTCTTTAATTTAAGTAAAATCAATCTAACAAAAACCCTAGCTTCGATGCTCTATGATCCTTTTTTATTTGATTTCCTATTTCATGCCGGTTAAAAAACACCCAAAAATTCCTCTTTGCTCAATTGTTATGCAAGATTTTCAAAAAATTTTGTTTGATTTTCTTTTCTTTTCTTTTCTTTTCTTTTCTTTTCTTTTTTATTTATTTAGTTTTTATAAAAGAATAAACGAACAAATAAAAATAAAAATATTTGTTGGGGCAAAGCCCACATCAAAATAACATACATTGGGCTCAAAGCCCGACAATCTCAACAAAATTTAAACCAAGAATTTGGATGCACACCCCGAATGAAATGAGATGTCTATAGTTGCCTTCTTTGCACATTTTCACGAAATAGAAATGATGTAAAGACAAAAACAATCATTGAGTATGGTTCAACTTAAGCAATTTTAAAAGAATGTGATTTTCAAAAAAAATTTAAAAAGTTCCTCTAAACAAAGGCATAAAGCTTAAAAATTTTGATAATTCCTCTAAACAGAAGTTCAACAAATTAAACTCTTCTATATAGAGGCAAAGAAATCTAAATTAAGAAATGTGCTCTTCTATACATAGGCTAAACAACTTTAAAATAAGAAATGGACTCCTTTATATAGAGACTAAGTAACTTTAAAATTAAGAAATGAGCTTCTCTATATAGAAGCTAAAACAACTTTAAATTAAGAAATGGGTTCTTTTATATAGAGGTTAAACAATTTTAAAAACTTTAAATAGAAAATGTCAAAACACATCCATTCACCCAAGTCCAGAAAAATTTTAGCTTGAAATCCAAATATTCATAACTTGAAAATTCAAGGGTCCACAAACTACAAAGATTCATAAGGTTCCATAAAAAATTTTGAAAATTTCCAATTCTCCAAAATTTGTAAAAAATTCGCAATGATTTCAAAATTCACTAAAAGTCAAGATTTGCAAAGGTTTGACAGAATTTTAAGTTTCACAAAGATTCCAATAGTTTGTAAATGATTCAAGATTCTCAGAGATTCTAGATTCACAAAGATTTCAAGTTTCGCATAGGTTCCAATTCGTAAACATTTCAGATTCACAAAATTTTTCAGATTTTCAGACATTCTAGATTCATAAAAGTTTTACGTTTTGCATAGGTTCCAGATTCGTAAGAATTTCAATTTTTCAAAGGTTCCAAATTTGCAAAGGTTTCAAGTTTCGTAGAGATTCAAAATTCGCAATGTAGGCACCAATTTTGTTCTTCTTGTTATATTATTATATAATTCTATTTATTATTATTATTATTATTATTATTATTATTATTATTATTATTATTAATCTTTAAAACAAAAGAAAAAAAAGTAAAAAAAGGGTCTTTGATTTCAACTTTAGCAGCTGAAATCAAGCTGCCAGACTGGTCCAAATTGCTTTCTGACACTGCTTAACATGGCAGCATGAAATCCAGTGACCAAAAGTCACCGAATGACACCCAAATTTTCCACAAAAGGATCCCATAATATCTAGGATCTTGAATCTCAAAAGCTCTATAAATAGAGCTAATCTTTGTAAAGAACAGACAAAAAAAAAGAATAATAAGAGGGAACACACACAATCAAGAAAAGAAAACAACAGCAAACAAAAAAAATTTCGAGAATGAAATTCTCGATCTAGGAAGATGTAGATTTTTTTTTTTTAAATCTGGGCTTGGAAAAGTGTTTAGAAAGCAAAAAAGATCATTGGGGGGACTTTTGAAAAAAAATTTGGGTCGTCGAAAACTGGAAAAGTTTGAATTTTTAGATGACCATTGAATTTTTCAGCACCAGAATCTGGAAAAGTTTGAATTTTTCAGTTACCATTGAATTTTTTGACCACCAAAATCTATGGATCTTTGAATTTTTCTGTGTCATTGAAGTTTTCGACCATCGGTGCACAGCGGCAACCGATCGAAAACTAGGCTCGAAGGCGACTGGCATAGGGGCTGGGTTTTCTAGAGAGATGAGCTTTGGGTAGAGAGAGAAAAAGAAAAAGAAAAAATAAAGAAAAAAAACCAGAAATAGTCTTTTTATAGGCCTTTCAAAACGACGTCGTTTTGGACATCTATATCGAACCCGACCTACGCAGGATCCGGACGCCAACCCGACCCATTTATATTCCCAATCCAAACATTGTTATGGTTGCATATTCCCAATCCAGACAAAATCTATTGGCGAGGTCAAAAACTTAGATCTCGAAAGAAACTCGCTTATATGATGGAGGTCTCCACTCAGAATATGAACTCGTATATCCAAACAAAAGGCAAAAGTGATTGCATATCGTGGGAAATCTTATGTGATTACATCATCAAACACTTAGAGGATGAATGAGGAATGAAAATAATAGCTTTGGCAATTTATGGCTTGATCATCTTTCCAAAAGTCCTCGGGTACATTGAGGTATCGGTGATTGACTTTCTCGAGTAGGTGGATTTCACCAATGAGTCGGGATAATTTAAATTTTTTCTTATAAAAAATAATTAAAGAATAAATAATACAAAATTTTAAAATAACCATAATATTTAGATTTTACCGAAGAGTCGGGATAATCTTAAAATTTGTTCAAAATTTTGGAAACTCACCAAAGAGTCGGGATGTTCTTAAAATCCTTTTTAAAATAAATAATTAAAATATCTTATGATGAAGTTTCGAGAATTTTGTGAATGGTCAATTTTTTCAAAATATTTTCTAAATAGTATTTTCTATAAATTCCACCAAAGCTGCAGAATTTATAGAATGCGAAATAATAATAATAATGTTAATTTCGAAACAGCAAAAAATGTTTTAAAATAAATTTGAGGAAATTAAACTTAAATAAAAAAGACTCCGTTATCAAAATTATAAGATTACGCATGTTTAAATGGTACCGTTCTTCAAACGAGCAACATGATGGTGCTAATACCTTTCTCACTCGTAACCATACTCTCGAATCTATTCTTGATTTCGTAGACTTAAACTTCTTTTAGTAAGTTTTAATTAATTTTAAAATTTTTACTAAAATATGATATTTTGGGTGGCTAATCACACCCTATAAAAAGATTGGTGGCGACTCCGAAAATTTTCACCAAGTCTAGCGATTGAGTCCCCCAGGACAAAAAATCATTATGGCATGCAAGAAATTCAAATTTG